GAGTATTGATGTTAGTCCACTATTTCTGAGTGTGTTTGAAAGACTTATCAAACCCCCTTTGACTGAAACCACTAAACCCGATGGATTGCGCTTGATCGTCTTTAAGAAAAGCGATTCTGCACAAGAATTATTAAGTCCACAAATGATTTCAATTTATTTGTAGCAGTAGTTTTCTGAATGATACCAATAATTGTTGTTAGTAGAAACTAGTTTGCGTGAAATGTGACTGTTGATAGTTTTCAGATACCGAACAGAACTGACCTAGTGGTTAACATACTTCAATTTTGATAATTAGGTTACATATCAAAGTTTGAGTATTTCGATAATTCTAGGTCTTACAAAACTCGTGACATAGAGCAATGACTGATTTACATCTTTTTAAATGTTAAACTCTGATTAGTGTAATGTATTATTCCGATTCAGAATGCACAATACTTCATCTTAGTTAATGGTTCATCGGTTTAAAATATTATTTTTATGACTGTTTTCTTTTCAATCTTCAAATATGATAGTAGGCAAATCATAAGGGATATGTTCATATTCACTGACTAAAAGAGCTTCATTTGACCCATTTACAACATTTCGTTGCGTATTATGCTTTTAATATGTTTCCGTTTAGTTGGTCAGACGGTTTACCTAAAGAGCATTTATGCGTTCCTGCAGTGCTTTCGCGTATTGCAATGATGGCTTTAATTAGGAATAAAGTATTGCAGTATGAAGATATCAACGGTGCAACAAGTATTCCTTTTGGGGTTAGTCATTTTCATTCGTTCATTTACTAGCATATATGTCTTTTTTTAGCCAATTTTCATGTATCAGAAAGCAGGTCACATGTATCATATAAAGACTGTCCAAACTTTGTTAGATGGTGGGAACTGTAAACTGCTACTGACTAGTTGAAAAAAAGGTGCATATCCCAATGAACCATAGCCCCAAATCTAATTTTATGCAGGGATAGTAACTGATTTTACCTTACGATAAGTGTTGAAAAACCCCTTTATCGCTCTAACAATATTTGGAAGAAAATATTTAGTGATTAAATTGGAATTGTAATTTTGTAAACGATTTAGTTTTATCACTCAGTTGTGGGAATGCAGCGCATTGGCTTTAGCGTAACTCTTTCATCCAATATATCCGAAATTCAAATCCCAATGGACCTGGACAACCGTGCATTATCGTAAGCCCCTCAGCCAATAAGTATAGCTCATAAGTATGCAAACGTGTCCATCAAGTTGCACTATCTGTCATGTATCGGTGGAAATGATACTCTAAAATTTTTTGTTGAGAAATGGTTACATTCTTAACGTGTAGGCAATCCGATAAGAGTCAGAAATAAATTACTATACCACTGATTACTATTTCGTCTCTCTATTTTAAAAATTATCAAATACGAGTTTTTTGTAAGATAGAACGCATTTATAAAAAAAGTTTCTAACAGAATCATGCTTCACAGAGGAGAAACTGTTTACCTTCATTCGAACCAGGAAGTTAAAGCCAACTTTGTAAAGAAATGTTATTTCTTTTAAATTGACTATGAACAACCGTAACCAGAAACCAACGTTACATAGTATAACTAAAGCCAAAAGTTATGCTATGAAGAATATCCTATTCCAATGGAAAATGACGCATAGGTCATCTGTATTACATGGCATGAACATGGAATAAGTGTTGATATTCTACATAAACTATTGTTTCCTCATTCATTAGGTCCTGCTTTAGAGACCTTTATTCATGTATCCAAATTATTTTCATGCATGTAAAAATATTCTAAGAAAAAGATTGTTTCATGCTAATTGGCCAGCTGAAAAGTCTAAATTTATGAGGAACCTACCATGACTACAGAATAACATAGATCGAAAATTAAGACTCAAACTTGCTAGTAATTGATGGCTTTCTACCAGGAGCTAGTTATTTTAAGCATTTAAAGATAGGGGAATTTTTAATGAAATTAGTACTATGGATATCCATCAGAACCACTTCAGACCGTTTTGTATTCCAATATATAGTGGTCGATACGGTGACATGCAGTCTGAAGATTTGTAATTATTAACGTAGCGTTGATTTTAAATTATCCTGTGAACTAGTTGAATTAGCTAGGATTTATATACCCCGTCGATAAATTCGGTTATATTGAAAATTTTCGATGACAAAGTCCACAGTTTATTAACCTCATTTCAGCCTGTTACGAAAGCGTATGTCAATTCACTAAAATCGCCTGCATCGCTTAAATAAGTAAAAATAAGTTGACATCGAAAGCCATTACCTAAACATTCGCTCCTATTCATAGTGAAGATAGATCCTAGTTTCTATCAGCGATGATCGGGTAATACGTAGTAAGAGTTGGGAAATGACCAGTTAATTTTGACTTACTGCCTGATGATGTTATTCGCACACATTTGGTCCACTTGCTAAACCAGGCCGGGTAGAAAGGAAGATTTGCTAACCTAAGTTGAAGAAGCTTTATTCGGCTTTGTGTTTTCGTTTAGTACATTGATCATTGCTGTAAATTACTGTTTATCGTACACATGTTTATTTATCTTTACTTCAAGGTTCAAAATAATGCATTTAAATTTGCCATACATGAAGGCGGCTTGACATTATTACGCTCTGCATGGAATGATGAATGTACCCAAATCAGCAATATTTGTCAAACTGTTCAATCTCAATCAGAGATGGCTAGAAATTCTGAATTAATACTAAAAACGCAGAGGGTATGGCATTCACGTCATGATTACTGGTTACTCGCTGGTATACTCGTTCATGGCTATTCTAGGTGGACGGACATACTGTCTGATCCACGTTTTCGTATTCTAAATTTTGGACTCTCTGGTGTTCTAACCAGCATGAATAAACTTATGAATTCTGAATTAGGTAAGTGGTGGTTTTCTTTCTGTCTTTATTTTTGATTTCAGCTGTTTCTTATTAACAGTTACCAGTGATTTTTTTGAAGATAGCTGTTCAATGCTGCTCTATGTTATAGAGCTAATGAAAGCTCTCTACTAGAGTTCACCCAGCCGTGTTGGCCAGAGATGTTCACTGTCACCGTTCATATTTAACTTCGTCATAGACGTACTAATGGACTTAACCTTAGATATGTCTGACTTTACAAGGATTGACCTACTCCCTGGAGGTCATCTAGTTAAGATGCTGACAAATACAGGGTCTTCTGGACGCGTTGAGCAGAAATATGAGTATGTTTGGCATTGGTTTTGCTGGCACCTGTGAAATGTAAAATAATGCTTGAGGACTGGTCTGCAACGATTTCGAGTTTAATGATAGGGAGTGAGGTGGTGGAACATACCGACCACTTCACTAACCTACGGAGTTGCATTAGGGATGAACGGGCTGATTGCTGACGAAATCTTACCTCGGATACAGAAGGCCTGTTTGGCATTCGCTAACCTGCGTCATGTGTGGCGCCGATTGGCTAGATATCCGGTTGTCTCTCGAAGGTCGAGTATACTGTGCTGCAGTCCGTTCTGTCCTACTGTACGACTGGCATATGGCCGTTGAAAGTAGAAGATATGAAACGATTACAGTGTTTCGATCACAGATGTCTTCGTAGTATTGCTCGCGTCTAGTGCCATGCTGGAGGAAGTCGGATTACTTTGGAAGTGGTTTCAGGGTGACCGAACAAAGACCTGACACCATTCCATGAAGTCTCTTACTGTTAGTCTGAGTCGTGTGAGATGTCGACTACCTGACTGAGGTCTTCGAGATGAAAGAAACCAGTGATTGAGTTCTCTTGGTCAGATGCCTGATGGTCACAATGGCGCAGATGTATTTTAAAGCTTGAATGTTCACACTAACCTTTATCTTCAGATTGTATATTCTCTTACCCTACTTTATCTTCTTTGATAAAACTACTTTCCTATCCACCTACTCTTTGTGTACCACTGTGAAGTGTAGCAGCTGGAGCCGATACACCTGTGTGCGAAGTCCTATTTAGATTTTATCGGTAATCAGTCTTAGGACAAAACAGTGTAATCAAAAAACATCCTTCATCGACTTCAGAAACGTTATCATTAAAGTTTTCTACTTACTCTTTAAACTCAGTTATTTATCTGCATTCATACTTTTTTTCGTATTTCCATTTCATAGGTTCACGCTGCACATCTTCGTATCGTGTTCCTTCAGAATCTACTGAAGCACAAGCTTTTTTACTGGATCGTTTAAAATTACTTGAACAAGCTTTAATTGTTGAACAAGCTCTGCACGAAATAGCTGAAGCTGCTCTTAGCAGTAGTTCAAACAAAAATGCACCTGATCCAAGCCGTATCAAAAATCTAGCTGTTTGCTTATCTAACAAGTTAATTCAAACAGGAGCCCGCAAACGAATCGCTTTGCCTAAGGATCAAAAAGCCAGAGAAGCCACTCGTGCAGGTTTGTAGATAAGTATTTAAAACTGAATCAATGCTTTGTCTGTCTAATATTTCACTGTTGTGCTTATCATAGCAGATTTAGTGTTGTGCTGTATTCTTCTTTGTCCTAAACTATTTGAAGAAGTGTTTATATTCAGTGTTTTCCGTGGTTAGTGTTCGAGTAAACCAGTGAAATGCACTGAACTTGGGAATAGTTAGTTTTTCTAGTGGTGGTCGGTTTGTAAAAACTAACAAGCGGTGAAAATTAATATTTTTTGCTTACCTACATATCTTTTCTTAATTAGTAAGGGGAAAGAAACGCAATAACATTTCATGTTGATACCTTAGATAACACTGTAGAATGTACAGTTATTCTCGGGATAAATAAAGCAATTTTTATATCCTCCAAGGGATAAATTTTGTATGATGTTATGTTGCGAAAATCTAATGGGATGTTTAAGTATAGAATTGCTTTATAAGTAATCATACCTGTTTAATCTTATTAAAAGGTTATTAGCTGTTAGATATAACCTTTTTCGCAGTAATCATTTATAAATATGCTATTTCTAGATTAACCTATTCGAACTTCTTTTACATATATGTAGTCGGTTAACCTAGTTTTCCTATTTATTTTAATAGTTGTTCAAAATCTTCAGGAAATATTAGAAGACATGTATGCCGATCTACCTGGTATGCCAGCTTCAGTAAATTTCACCGGAGGAGATGAATCCAGTTATAAAGAAAGGAAATCGAAAACCATGTCAAACACATCAAACGAATATAGGAGTGGCACTGGTAGTTCCTCATCGCAGTTATCCAAAACGAATGCAGTAACATCGGAGGTGAATTTGTGTGGTGAGGATAACGATGACATTGAACAAGAGATTATTGCTAATAGTAATGATGGTCATAATGGAAACAATAACAGACAAGTATCATCAGATAAAATGCCTTCCATTAATCATGAGAAAACTAATTCTGATCGCTTGGTACTCCAGTCAAAAACAGCCCCGCCTACTCCAGCCAGTTTTGAAACTTGTAAATCCAATAGCTCGCCGATGCCGGAAAAGGAGATATTTATTGAGTTATCCGATGAAGAAGACAATGGAAATCATGATTCTAGTTTTGGTAACGATCATACTAGCCAGGAAATAAATATAGAAATGGACAATAATACTGCCGATAGAAATAATGCTGGTGAACAGTGTGTATTACCCACCATATCGAACCCTATCCATGGTGCTTTTATTTACTCCAATAAGTGATTCATCATCCACTATCTATTACTTACAGCCCTTCTGTACAAAACCCCCTTGTGTATTCTGCTTTTTTTCGCACAAAATAACATATTGATTACAAGGTTATTTTACCGAAAGACCTTTTTGTTGTTGTCGTTGTTGTTCTCTACAAGTTTTGTTTGCAGCACTTTTAGAGTAATATACACTGTAAATAAAGTAAACTTTTATGCGCTTTGCTTATCATATATACCATATAGGCTAGAATCAAATTTACAGTAAAACGTTAACGCTTATCATTACCGGTAGTAATGCTCAGAATATGATTTTCATCGTAAGTGTAAACTTTGCTTTATGCAGTGATTGCAGTCGTATGTGACAAAAATTCGGTAGGGATGATGCAATCACTTTACTCTGCCACTTATGTTTCACTTGTTTTCATTTTAATTATTTTAATCATTCTATTGGTATAGTCCATAAGTGAAACCTATTCACACTCGCCACTGTCAAGGCTTTTGCTAAGTGGCATCACAATTCACGTCGAAGTTTAAATTATTTATTTAGTATGTAAGAAAATTGTTTGGATATTGTGCTGCTCATTAATTATAATTGAGTAGTTTTCCCTTGTGCTGCTTTTTGATATGAACTTTGGCCATATATACGATCCAGGGATTTGAGTTACTAATTTAGGATAGTTGGAAATGATGTTTTATTTGCAAAGGTGGACTGATCTCGCATGTAGTAGTTTTTCAAAGTTATATACTTTACTCAATCTTAGTGTCGTTTCTTCGCAAGTTAGTTTATCATGATTGACTGCAGCGTTTGTTAACCTTCGTTTCGTAGGTTTTAAACGTCGCTTGTAATTGACTGCTCTCCATCAACATTTGTTCAACAATTTGGCTGCATTTGTAGTCCATTGGATGATTATATCTCTCAATGAAGTATTGAACTGGCTTCATATCACTCCGTTTGAGCTGTTTATACAGATTGTGGGAGTTAATTTGAGTTTAATTTTGGCTGTGCTTTGGGACGAAAAGATCTTGAATCTACTGCTCAGTACCAATGAAAGATATGTAATTTTATGGTGGGTCTTCTTACCATTATGGTGTGCAGATGGTCTTGTCTCTTACTTCAACCTTGTGGTGTTTTTCAGACGCATGCATTATCACAAAGTAAGCTAAACTTTTCTTTACTGATATTCTTTACTAGTTTTTCATTCGAATCAGTCATAGTTGTTGCTTCTCTATGTGTAGGTTGTACGTGGAAGCCTTCTCCATTACGGATTTCGGCCTGACTATCTACCTCCTCCTCCTTGGTCGTCCATAATCTTAGATACAATTTACAAAATACTATTTGATTTTTGTATTTTCACATTTAAACTAGTTCTTTTCCGAAAATTGGTGTATTTAAATGAGAGTAATTTGACCTATACCACAGTTTTTTCTCCAATCATCTGTGTTATGCAGTTAATACTTTTATCAGTGTGCGTAAAGACATGTGGGAGCCGGAATGATTAAAATGTAAAGTATCTTTCCTAGGGTTTTTTGTCATTACTTTATTTTCTGTAAAATAATATGCAAGTATATCTGTAACCCTATTGTAATTAATGTACTCTATCACAATGTACTGTTCATATAATGCAGTTTGAAATGCGAGTCAGAAAAAGTCAAGACCATCTTCATTGATATCAGTAGTTGATTTTTAGTCTACCGTTTCGAAGAGTTGGTTTTCTTGCTCGAGAGTTTGTGCATGTTTCTGTGTTAAAATTCAGCACATTAGGGCGATAATTCATCAGCGCACAACTGCGACAACACTATGCACTGACCTCAAAACCCAGAGGTTTAACCTCCAGCACCTTACGATCCAGCCACTGCATCGGTATTCCACCGTCATTTCCTCCTAGTTTTTCCAACCGACGATATAGCAGTACTACTGTGCGATTTGTAAGAAGAGCATTAGTCATTACACCTGACGTAGTTGAATCCACAGATCATAGCTTCCTATTGTAACCTCGAGCAGTCTATCTCGAAGGATGTCACGAATGAGCACCAGACTAATTAATTGTGGAGGTTTATGGTAATTGATTGGTTTATTTAGCTCAAGCTGGTGTAAGTCAGCAGCTGATATGAGTTTGAGCTGCATTGGGAAGCTGGGAGACGTGAACGCCTGTGTATAGACCTTGTGATTAATTTATGCAAATGGCCAATGAAATGTTTCTTTTAAATTATCTCTTGATCTTCATCCCTACACTATTGTATAGCATTTTCAAAATAATGAATAACATACCGATCTACTAGTGATAACTGTTTAATAACAGGTTATCAGTTTAAAAATATCAAAGGGGTGATAATTGATCAGGAAGATAAACTAAGGGTATAAACTATTTGCATGGGAAAAATTAGTGAAATTTCAAACAGGTTGTTACGTAATTGATACTTTGCTTAATAGCAACTAACACGAAAAAAATTGAACTATTATGTCTGGTGGGAAGGGGAAGGACAAAATGGCTAGAACTATAATAATGATCAATTGTCATCGTTTTTGGGGTGAACGAACGGAAAGGTCATGTTTTTACAGATGGCAGAAGCAAAGAAAAAGGCTGTACGAATTTCTTCGAAGCACACAGATTCTCCTTGTTCAGGTGGATTCCGATGGCTTCTTCTATATGTTAAACACGAACCCGTAGACCATGAGTGACATTAAAAGGAATGTGATAAATAACTGGAAAGGCATCATGAATATTAACTCATTGACCAGTGTCAACCCTATAAGAGAGTATTATACTTCGAATCAATCTTATTTTCCATATACGTATCAATGGGAAATGATTTTCTGTAACTCTAAAGTGGACTTCCACAGCATTATGCCCAGTAAACCTGCTTTTACAGTATCAGCTGAGCAACTACTGAAAGTATGTAGAAGACACAAAGTAAGATGTCTGCCTTTCATTCATGAAATTGTCATTCGGCGACTGAAGACAACACAGCATAACACTACATCATTGAACCTTGTTACTCCTTCATTCCTTAAAAATATACCTTCTCATTTCAAAACAAAAATCACCTCATGGAAACGGTGCTATCATCCAACAAATCCATATCCTCAATTCATATAATCTATACACAAACACGTCAACAAAAAAAACATTTCCCTATTAGTCAACATCACATACACCGCCCATCATTTAAGTTCTTCGATAAAACCATCTTCTAAACAACACACTACACAAATCACAGTCACTCTCATCTACACACGGATAACCATTGACACATACACTGAATGAGTCTTTTCTACAAACTCAATTACACACTATGACATGTCTACTTTCGATTGGTGCACACAAAGTCTCTAGTCACTCAAAAACAGATTATTACTTCAGTCGAAAGGCATAATGCAAACAATAATCATAAGAATAACAATAACAATAATAGTATCACCAATAAAGTAGAACCCTCTTCAACATCAATGTCAAATCATAGACCTGTACAACACCCATATCTCAATCACATTCACTCACCATCAACCTCGCAACCATCATTGACAACTAACCAGTCAAACAGTCTCACACATCATATCAACACATTAACCCAATCATTAACGTAGTACCAACACACATGATAGATAGCGAAATCAGCACCTAAGTAGTCGAGATGACAGAGAGCAGTCGAAACAGAACTACAACCAATCCAATTATCACGATACCCACTATCACGACTAACATGAAAACAATGTCTTCATGCACGCATACATGAATGCATCTCCACCACTGACATCCATCCTGAACCATATCACACCCAGTCACTCACAAAACACCGAGCTCACTCGCCTCCACATCCCCAACTGCCAACTACACACTTACACACAACACTGACATCAACTGTCACACACTATATGCTTTCATCTCATGCTTTAGACTGACCACCTCTAAGCTTTCTACAACCTGAACCTACTTCACCTAACATTGTGCCACATTATACAAACAAGGTGAATAGGCATGTCTCACTAATGTCACAGACATCTCACTCCATCAAACTTCACAAATTCACCAACTGACACACCTCTTCGACTTAAAACTCCTCACATCACTTCTACGCTACCCACGTCCTCCCTCCATGACTAACGGTCTGTGCGACGAAGGAAAACTCAGTCGAACTCATCAAGCCTTCTATTCTCCTACAACACCACCTACATGAAACACTAAAGCGAAATGCTCAAACACCGAACACATCAATCTCCCAATCTCAATACACATTCCTCTAGCACAACCAACATTCGCAATTACCCAACAACCACAGATTCCCTACTCACAGACAAAAGTAAAACAACACCAACTCAACGCCTTACATTCACATCTAACACAGAAACAACAAAAATAACTCAACAACATTAAACATTACATTCACAACACTACACTACACCACACCTCAACAAACTACACTACACTACACTACACTACACATCAATCTCAGTCACTCTCATCTACACACGGATAACCATTGACACATACACTGAATGAGTCTTTTCTACAAACTCAATTACACACTATGACATGTCTACTTTCGATTGGTGCACACAAAGTCTCTAGTCACTCAAAAACAGATTATTACTTCAGTCGAAAGGCATAATGCAAACAATAATCATAAGAATAACAATAACAATAATAGTATCACCAATAAAGTAGAACCCTCTTCAACATCAATGTCAAATCATAGACCTTTAGGATTAGTCCTGGTGCGAACTTGACAGACGCAAAGACCAATCACTAATTATTCGAACTTGTTACATACCCACGAATACGAGACCAAGGAAGAACACGATAGCGTAGTCGGATGGAATAGTATATTTGCATGGTTATGCCGAAATACCGATGCGTTCCCACTAACTGGCTAGAGAGTCGAATACGAGCAATGCAACGTAACACGACAGCGCGCCAAATGGCGAGGATGCTTGACAAGGTGCCTTCAGCTTAGCGAGTCCAGTTGAAATATCAAGGTAAGCATCAATGTCGAAAGTCGTCAAACAATAGGCTA